TCCTGCCTCCCCCAGCCATTTTCTCAAGTTGATATAACACGGGGTGTGTGTGTGTGTTATTTTCTCATTTTTGATGCTCCAAGCGGAGTACTAGAGAGGTTAGAGTGAAAAAAAATCTCTCCTTATATATAATTGAGTTTGTATATAATTGTGTTTTGGTGGGGCCGCCGTCCTATGGGGTGGCGAGAAAAAAATGTGCTCCCTCAGCCATTGGCCCGTCGGCTACCGCTCAGGGCAACTGGCGTGCCATTGGCTGGGGAGGGGGGGTTGAAGCCTGGCGACCGCTGGCTGCTGCCGCGGTCGCCGGGCTGGGACTGTGGCCGGGAGAGGGAGGCGGGCAGGCCGACGGAGGCAGCGGAGGCCGCTGCCTCCGTCACCCGTGCTGGGTTGGGGGGGTTTGGAAGCCCGGCGACCGCTGGCTGGGGACTGGTGGGAAGCTGCGGGCCCGGAGGTTCACCATTTCAGTAGGGCCCTAGTCCTCATCCTCGCCCTCGCCGGACAATCAAAATGGTGTCGGGTGACTCCTGAGATAGATATTAGCAACAGTGGTTGTGTGGGCGGGAGCCGAGCTGTGCGTCCCTATTGGTGGACATATATGGTAATTGGCAGTTTCACCGGCCAAACACTAAAGAGGCGCATTTTAAAACGTGGGTCCCCACTATTCAATTATGATAAGGAGAGATATGTTACAAACCAGGTAATTCCTTGTTATAAAAGGCACACAAAAAATAAGTATAGTGGCAATCCTAAGAAGGTCTACTTGGGAGTAAATCCATTTTTTTTCCACTACTGCCAGGGAAGTGTTCTTGGGACTGCATCTGTGTGCACAAAAAGCTATTTCAAAGTGACTATTTCAAAGTCACTGAAAAGTATGCTTTGATATCACAAAACCCAGAAAACATTTGTGGTGATCAGGTCTACAAAATAATCAGATCTACATCGTCCATTTTGAAATGGCAATTATTGCTAATTTCAACAGTTGTGATATGGGTAATATGCTTCAGTAACATATTTTATATTTCCAGAAATGCCCCAATGTTTATAGAGCAGATCGCAAAAACTAAAATACAGAAAATACCATAAAATCAATAAGAACCGTAACAACAAGAAGTTAAATAGCTACATAATGCTAAAAA